AACAAATAAAACCAAAAAACCATGGTTACTATAGTTAAACCATGGTAACCACAGGTTAACCATGGTTTTGCTACACTAACCATAGTTTAACCATGGTATTGTAAAACCTTTGGTTATGCAAATGGTAACCAATAGGCCAAAAAACATGGTTACTATACTTTTACTATAATAAAACCATGGTTAATTTTCATAAAGGGAAGTTGTAAAGGTAAGTTAGCCAGCTTACATAATGTTTCACACCCCTTAAAACATTTCCACTGAGGTCTGTGCTACTTGCAACGCTTTTCTGTATTTGGTTGTGTTGTGAGTATTTGCAGCACGTTTCTGTATTTTGAATATTTGCAGCACATGTGTTGTCAAACTGATGAAGATGTTACCAGATGCTAGTGCTTTGGTGGCTGGGGCAGTGGTGGCCTAATGGTTAGTGAGTCGGGCTTGTAACCCAAAGGTCACGGGTTCGAGTCTCAGGTCTGGCAGGGATTGTAGGTGGGGGGAGTGAATAACCAGCGCTCTCTTCCATACTTGGTCACACGTCACGTCACTTTTTCTATTTGCATGTGTTTTCTTAAGATGCAGTGCGTTGAGCCGTAATATTTTGAAACTGGAGGCAGATAAAACTCACAAAGCGAGATGAGTTGTCATTTCTGATGGTCTTGGCATTTCCAAAAGCCTCCAGAGCAGGATTACACTGGATGATTTGATCCTCTAGAGTACCCTAAAAGACAGACAGATATACTGCAGATAGTAAAGAAAAGAACAGGGAATGTTGTATTTTAGCTGATTATGTTGTAGTAAAATGTGTTCATTTTTTTTTTTTTTTGGACAAATGTCTAATTATTTTCAGACTGATAGTGAACAGGTCTGAAAATCACATAGTACTCGTACAGCATTTAAAACAAATTCAAGTAAAAGTACAATTGTACCCTGAAAGTATGAACTAGGTCATTAAAATGTAAATTGTTACTTTACATCCCTGATCAATATCAGTGCATGGATTTGTTTCTAACCTTCTTATCACTGGTCTCCTTCTTTGAAGGACTAGCAGCAATGCTGGCGAAGTACTGAATGACTCTCTTGGTGTTCACAGTCTTTCCAGCACCGGATTCTCCGCTGTCAACATAAACCAGTCTTAGAAATCTATTAAGAATTCATTCATAAAAATGTAACAAATAAACTCAAAAAGATCATCTACACTGCAAATATGATTTTCTTGTTTTCTAGTATAAATATCTACAAATTCTTGAATTAAGATGCATTTACTTGAAACAAGTAAAAATAACAGGATTATTTTTCTTACCCCATTGGCAGATATTTTTACTTGTTTTACGCAAAAACTAACAACATTTGGATAATATTTTCAGAAAACAATGCATAATATCTTTACTTGTCAAGTAAATGCATATTAATTCAAGAATTTGTAGATATTTATACTAGAAAACAAGACAAAAATACTAAGGAATAAAATAATTTTTTTGCAGTGTAACTATAACACAAAGCCTTACGTGATAAGAATGGACTGGTTTTCTCTATCTGTAAAAAATGTAAATTATAATTATTAACGTTATATGCATGAACATTCAATTATTTTCACTAGTTACTGACATATAGCCAGTGCTGTTTTTGGTTTGTCTCTGTCTCACCTGACAGCATGTATTGGTAGGCGTTGTCTGAGATGGAGAAGATGTGAGGAGGAGCTTCACTCCTCTTCTTGCCTCTGTAAGCAATGACGACTTCTTGGTTGTACACTGGCAGCCACTTGTAGGGGTTCACAGTGACACAGAAGAGCCCAGAGTAGGTCTGTAAGAGATTGACAGCAGCTTCAGATCTGCTCATATGTGATAAAGTGAATGTGTGAGTGTTTTAAGACTCACGTAGATCATCCAGGCTGCATAACGCTCTTTGAGGTTAAACAGCACAGCGGGCTCGTGCAGGAAGGTGAACATTGCCATGTCCTCAATTTTATCAAACTTTGGCGGGTTCTGAGGATGAACATCGGCCTCCTTCACAGTTACTGTCTGTGGGAACATCAGATTTTTGACAGTGAAAACAGTGTCTGTGCATTTTGATTTATCCATGTAAATACAATTCATCTGTTAATTCGTTCATTTAAAATAGTTAATTTAATCATCCAGTCCTTATTCTAAACACATCACTGAGCTCATTACAGCAGGTCTTTTAAAGTAGAGAAATGTCTTTAATTGAAATCTTGAACTTACCGTTCCCTTCGAAGTCTCACAGGTGACTTTATCACCATCTCGACTAATAATAGATGCTTTAAGATACTCCTCTGCAGTATCAGGAACGAAACATTCTTTCTTCATGTCAAAGGGGCGAGTTTGGGCCTCCAGACGCTCTATGTCCGACTTCCTGAGGTACGGAGCAGCAGCTCCAAACTCTGCCATCTGGGCATCCCCCATCTTTCACTCTGCTCACAAGTGCATGCACACAAATTACTATAAGAGATATTATATATAGGAGCCTATTTGGATGCTTAAGACACATAAAAATTATAGAAAAAATAGAAACATAACAAAAAAATGTTCTGTTTGAAATGCCAAAATTAGATCTAGTGTAGAAGACAGTCGGTATTGTGTTTGTTTGTAGTTTGAGGAACATGTTTTGATAGTTAATGTGATTCTGTACACCTGTGTGAAGAGAGAGATGACTTCGTACATCTGCTAAAAATCACCAAAACACCAGCTGATTCAAACACACTGAGTAAAATTGAGTGGAGAGAAAATATCCTGCAGCATTTGTGATACACAGATGCAGACACTTGCACTACACTTATTCAGACATTTATAAGTGTGTCCTAAAAATGTGGGACCATTGTATATGGTAATGTGTGGTTGTAGGACTAATAATTTGATATCTCATATGAGATTAGTCTGTTGCAGTCAGTGATGTTGCATTGAGTGTTTTTAGGGTCACTTACCTGTACTTCACCTCTCCAGATACTGATGGTTTACTGTCCTAGGGACATACAAAAACAATATAAAACAGAATGAATTATTTAACATCAAACATTTATCTCCTGTCTGTCACATTATAGTCAATAATGAGCAAAAGTGCATAATAAACAACATCCCTCTGTGCCTGATAGGTAATATACACCAAATGAGACCAGGCTTTCATAAAGTCAGAGGCGTCTCTGGTGGCTTACCGTTTGATGATACAATAGAAAACCTGTCTGAAGCCATTGACTCTCCACCCCTTTTTATAATGTTAAAGGTCCTCTAAATATGGTTGCAGGAATTTTCTGAAGTATGTCAGTGTCTCAGTTTGGTTAGGATACGGATGGTCTGGGTGTCTGCTGGAGGCAGAGGCACGTTTATTTTGTACAGGGTGTTTATTCATGCCAGTAAGGAACAATATACTTTGTCATATGTACTTTCATTCAACTCACTTACCTTTTAAATGCAATGTCTGTCAAGTAAGTTTTTGTAAGGTATGTGAATTCAGGAGAAGATTGAATGGTGGAATGTGAAATACACTGAAAAGTTTCTGCTCACTACCAAAAAAAAAATGTTCTTGTCTTGTTTTCCATTACGAATATCTAAACATTTCTAAAACAAGATACATTTACTTGAGACGCATAATGAAATTAGATTTTAAGTTTTGTTTTCTGAAAAATGTATCAAAATAATTTTTTTTGCATAAAATAATAATTTTAAAAAAGTATCTGCCAATGGGGCAAAGTATTACTTTTCTTACCCCATTCTTACCCCATACCACTTTTTTTCTTGTTTAAACATTTTGATGCATTTTTCAGAAAACAGACTTTCAGTCAGCTTCTCAAGTAAATGTATCTTGATTCAAGAATGTTTAGATATTTACACTGGACAACAAGACAAAAAATACTAAGTTAGAAAATCATTTTTGCATTATTTTACTATTGCACCTATGAACAAACTGCTAATGTGAATTCTTTGGATTAAAAAAAGAGAATGGTTTTTACATCAGTTAGCAGGTGTTCGCTCAAAAAAGAATGTATCTCATTGTTTGCATCAACTGATCTGTACCTTGCTCAAGGACAAGCCAAGTGTCATTTCACTCTGTCCATCATAGATGCTTTTTATCCGCTCGAGCGCCCACAGCTGAATCTGTAAGGGCAAGGTCAGTTTCCAACTGGTGCAGTCGCTTCACTCAGGCCTCATCGCTGACACGCCATTGTTCCTTTGCCTTCACACTTGAGGACAAAGATAACCTGTGAAATTCTTGCTGGGTGCTTCTAAATTGATTGAGAAGAACAGCTTGCATACCAGCATCCATATATGTGAGTCTACAGCAGGCCAATATCACTGCCTGAATAAATTAATGTATACACAACGTCAATGTGAACTTAATATTCATCATATCTTTTGACAGGAACAATGTCTAATTTGTCCAGTTTGGCAGAAAATTCCTAGCTTTTTTTTTTAATATCAGCTGCATCAGAGTTACTAGAACATAGGTCATTCAACTAGACACAATCAACCAACAATGCTGGTGCATTATTTTCACACTGAATTTTTGACTGTTTAGTTGCACAAATGTTGACCACTGAGTTCAGATATGAAGACCTAAATGTGTAAAGCCTCTGCATAAAGTGCATCTTCATTCAGATTTCACTATACATTGAACACCTTTGTTCACTCTTAATTGCTTAAATGGATAGTTCAACCAAAAATAAAAATTCTATTACCTGTATGCATTTTGTAGAACATCTGTAGAAAACTAAAGAACATATTTAGAAGAACAACACTGGACTTTCATTGTATGGACAAAAACACTGAAACATTTTTAAAACGTTTAAAGAGAAAAAAGGATGTCAAGTTTGAACCATACAAGGGTAAGTTAATGCTGGTAGAATTAGGGCTGTGCAAATAATCAAATGCGATTTTCATGTGTATCTCGTCAGTTAAGCCGGTTCTGTGATTAGTAGCCGTGATTCATTGCCGATTATGAACGCGATTTTGCGTAGCTTGTCAGTGATCTACGGCTCTGTGTAGTAAATGCCACTCCATCTGAAAGCACGTGCTGGAGATTTACTACTAATCACAGAACCGGCTTTACTGACGAGATGTGCATGAAAATCGCATTCGATTATTTGCACAATTGTCATTTTTGGGTAAACAATCGACTGAATTGGAGGTACTGATATTTTAATGCCCTCACTTTCATGCTAATGGCGTTACTTTTCATTTAAAATGTATGTATTTATTTATTTTTTTATCTAAAACTACTGAACTCTATAATCAGCTCTTTAAAGATAGATATGTATGCAACAGCTACGTGCACAACGCACCATGAACTTGCATTGTCTGCACTGAAACATATGGAGGTCTGTGACAGACTGTCAGTCATCCTCTTACCTCTTATCTCTTTTTTGTTCCACATTGTTTCCTTCCCATTGTCCTTGAGTACAAAGATAACCCTGTGAAATTCTTACTGAGCCTCTGATGAAATGGGAGCAACTGATGAGGGGCATTGAAAACACATAAAGCGGATGCCTCGTTTGCAAAGGTCTCCAAGCGCATAAATAAACGTCAAGTGCTACACGCTGGCACCCTTGCGAGCCATATACGTACTACTTGAGTTACATGGCCAACTGAGGCAAAACGATGCCGGTCACAAGACAAGTGTTTATTATTAACCGACAGTGGTGGACAGTAACGAAGTAGTTTAATTTCGTTACTGTACTTATTTTTTTTAAATAAAGTCCAAATATTATAATTCAACTACCTAGTTGATTACATCTGAGAGAAAAAGAAAGTATGTGATGTTCAGAACATGGTAACTACAGTAATTATCAAAGTGGGAAGTGATGCCCTCTGGGGCATTTGGCCAGGGGTGTTTTTTCACCACAGTCGAGGTTTGAGAAGAAAAAATAATTATGAAAATCTAATTATATTTTCCTTATTATATTCATTATTTCCTTATTGGTTATTTTGGGAAAATCCCAGGTATTTTGAGCAGTAGGATTATAAAAAAATATATGCTAATATAAAATTAAATGATAAAAGTAGCCTATATAAAACTGCAAAATAAACATTCATCTATCAGTACTTTTTACTTAAGTACATAAAAAATCAAGTACTTTTGTACTTTCACTCGAGTAAAATTGAAAACTGAGTACTTTTACTTTTACTGGAGTAATATTTTGTAATACGGATCTGTACTTTTACTCAAGTACTTGATTTGTGTACTTCGTCCACCACTGTTAACCGACGTGCAGCATTGTATTGTGAGTTAAAGTTGAAAGACAAGCAGAAGAAATGGTCATTGTTATCTTGGCCTAAGCATTTGTTCGGTTTGCATAATGAAAAATTGGTAGCACTTTATTTTACAGTCCTGTTCCTCATGTACTTGTTATAGTAAATTACAGTAACTTAGTAATAACTAGGTCCTAACCCTAACCCATATAGTTACTTTATATTATCCAGTACTTCCTTAGGTAAGTACACTTTAAGTACAGTTTAGTGCATGTACTGTAAAATAAAGTGCAACCAAAAAATGAGTTCATTAAGCAAATGAACAAAGCTCAATTCATATAAAATACAATGTTCATCTGTTTTTCTCATTATGCACCTGTTACTGGATGTCTGAAGGGGTCAACTGGCTGTTGAGACCATTTGTTAACCAAAAGGATGAAAGGTGAAAGTTTAAGATGCTGCTAGATTTCTTTTAAATCAGAAGGGTCTTGTGGGATGTCAAGCCAGCAGTTACTCTCTCCTGACTTATGGCAATCTATCTTAATATATCTCAAGCACATTCTGCTGTGGTTTAAGGTTGCAGGATGGTTGGTTCCTCTGTGAACCTCTGAGGAGCTCCTCCCTATATTCAGACTCCACCTCCAGCACTGTTCCTCACCTTCAACACCGAGGTTTACCCGCATACACTGCTGTGTTTAGGCATTCAGCCTGGCATGCAGCGGCTCTTCAGCAAGGATCCTTTGTTTAATTTAGAAGTTTACTTTTGGAATTGTTGAATATATTAATTGTTTCATTTGTTTTGCAGGTCTGAAGTTTTATGCACTTGAAAGAAATGAGGACACGATGCAGGTGAGACATCTAGAAATTCT